TGACTGACAGAGAACGATGAAAAACAGGATGGATATGCATGGTCCGTGGCAGGGAGAGACGATAAGCCACAGGACTGATCACCGCCTCGACTGGAAAAGGTCCCAAGTAATGGTGATCGAGCTTTTTCGATGATCGCATTGTTGGTAAATATCGAGTAGAGAGCTAAAGCTGATTGCCAACCGCTAAAGGTGGAACATCATGACGATGTTGGTCTGCAAACCATTTATAGTCTTCCTTGGCTCTCTCTAGTTGATCGCGGACCATGTTGTGCATGGCTTTTAACTCCTGCAAAAATGTATCCACTGCCAGAACTGGGGAATCAGACGGAGCTAAAGGGAAAAGTCATGGATGAAACCCATAGTTAGCAAAGAAAGGGGACACACGGGTTGATGCATGTTGAGCAGTGTTATAAGCGAATTTCACCACCGGCAGCACCTCCACCCAATTGTCTTGTTGAGTATTGCTGAAACAGCAGAGGTACTGCTCCAAAATAGCATTCACTCTCTCTGTCCCCCCATCAGTTTCGGGGTGATGAGCAGATGACAGACACGCCTGAACCTGCAGTTTTGTGGGTCTGCCAGAAGCGTGCCATAAATTGTACCCCCCCGATCTGATACCATGTGGTCTGGTAACTCATGCAACCGGAAAACATGGGAGATAAACAATTAAGCCGTTATCTTGGCTGATGAAAGACCTGCACACGGAATAAAGTGGGCCATTTTAGTCAACATATCCACCACCACCCAAATGGTTGTGGCACCATTCGATGGTGGTAACTGGATGAAATCCAATGAAACTGCCCCCCACGGTCGTTCTGGCATGTGCAAGGGCTACAATAGACTAGGAGGCGCACCAGGAGCATACTTGGCTTGGCGACAGATCCTACAGGACGCCACATATCCCGACAAATCATGTTTAAATCTCGGCCACGAAAATGTCCCAGAGATGAGGTACAGTGTTTTGAACACCCCAAAGTGTCCTGCCACCGGACTATCATGACATTGACGTAGGATAAGGCCGCGAAGAGGACCTCCAGGCACATAAATGCGATCGCGGAACCGCAACAGGTCCCCAATATACACCCAAGGGGTCTCTTGTCTCCCATTCTCATTCAATTCTCGACCTCGAGCTGTCACAAATGGGTCCTGCCGCTGCGCCTCCTGAATCCTCACTCGAAGGTCCACAGGTTCCTCGGTGGCTGCAAACCACTCCCAACAGACTCACCGTCTGGGGCAAGATTTTATCCTCCCTTCGGGTATACTCAGGCTTCCGAGATAGGGCGTCGGCGCGTTGATTCCCTTCTCTCAGAACATAGGTTACCCGGAAATCACATTGAGCAAAGAATAAGGACCATCTCACCTGATGATGGTTCAATGTCTGAGCTGTACGTAGGTGTTCAAATTGCAATGATCTGTCCGAACCTCGATTTGGTGATGAGCTCCCTCCAGCTGGTGCTGCCCTGTCTCAAAAGCAGCCGTAACTGCCAATAGCTCCTTGTCCCAAATCGTATAGTTGCGCTCTGGAGCCGACAACTTCCAGGAATAATAAGCGCATGGGAACAAGGTGCCTGCGGGAGCATAGGCCTGGAGGAAAACCACACCAACAGCCACATCGGAAGCATCTGTTTCCACCATAAATGGCTGGCCTGGATCAGGGTGTTTGAGGATAGGCTCAGAAGCAAAGATAACTTTCAACGCCTCGAAAGCTGCCTGCTCCTCAGCACCCCAATGGAACTTCTCCCCCTTCTTGAGCAGATTAGAAAAGGGAGCAATCAAGGCAGCAAAGCAGGGAATAAATGTGTGGTAGTAGTTTGCAAACCCCAACAGTAATTGCACATCCTTAACCCACTGTGGAGGTTTCCACTCCTGCAACGATTGTATTTTTTCCAGGTCCATTTCCACCCCAGCAGGTGAAATACAATGTCTGAAGAAGTCAATCATGGTTTGTGTAAACTGACACTTCTCATGTTTAGCAAACAGGTGGTTATCACACAAATGTTACAACACCAGCCACACATGTTGCCAATGTTCCTGCAGGGAGTCTGAGTAAATTAAAATGTAATCTAAATAAATGACCATAAATTGATCCAACAAATCACAGAAAACATCGTGCATGAAATGCATGAACACAGCTGGGGCATTGGTTAATCCAAAAGGCATCACAGTATACTCAAAATGCCCGTACCTCATCCAGAAAGCTGTTTTCCACTCATCCCCTGCACGAATGCGAACCAGATTGTAGGCCCCATGCAAGTCCAACTTCATAAAGATCTTAGCTTGATGAAGCCACGCAATCAGTTCAGGGATGAGGGGAAGTGGGTACCAATTCCTCACTGTGATTGCATTCAACTTGCGGTAATCACAACACAAAAATAGCTCCCCTGATTTCTTTTTTACAAAAAGCACAGGTGCAGCCAATGGGGAGGTAGAAGGCCAGATAAACCCTTTCTGGAGGTTCTTGTCAATAAAATCCCACAACATGGCCAACTCCGTTTCCGACAGGGAATATATCCGACCCACCAGCAATTTTGCATCGGGCAACAAGTCGATTGGACAATCATACGCCCGATGCGGAGGCAACTGATCCACCTCCTTCTCCCCAAACACATCAGCAAAGTCCACCAACTCCGCAGGTAGATCCAGGTCCACGGGCAGAGACACACTCCCTGCACAGGAGCGCAAGCAATGGTTGGCACACTTCCTATCAAGGAACTGCACAGCTCCAGATGACCAGACAATCTGTGGCTCATGGGCCTGTAGCCACTCCAAACCCAGCACCACCGGAAAATGAGGCACTGCGGCAACATAAAACATGGTTTCCTACACATGCTGCCCAATACACATTCAAAGAGGTTTGGTTGCAGCAACCACAGGTCCTGAACGAAGGGGCCAACCATCAATCATCTCCACCATTACTGGTGGGGATACCTGTTGCTGATGAATGAACCACTGCTTGACAAAATGAGCATCTATGAAATTGGCTGTGGCCCCTGAGTCGACCAGAGCTGGGATCTCCACCACTCACACACCAGGCACGAACACACTTGCTGGCAACACAAGATGCTTCACCAATAGTGACTGTGGTGGAGATGTCAAAGGTGGCGAGGGTGGCAAGGTTGGTGAAGATGGCGGGCCTATGGACTTTACACCCCGACCTGCAGACCCCCGTAAGCCGAGCGATGCTCGTTTCCTGCCACCACAGGTGTCGCTGCTGTGGATGTCTTAACAGGACACTTGGCCGCAAAATGGCCTCGATTGCCACAATAGAGGCATAAACCATCACCATGATGTCTGTTCTTTTCTACATGAGCCAGATGAGGGCGGCCAGCCCCCAACTGCATGGGTTCCTCCAAAAGGCACTTCCACCAAGGGCGCCATCTTGCTGGGAACAGATACGGTCTCTGTCTGTCATCGCACCCGTAGCTGCTGAAGTCTAGCATCGATACGAAGACACAAATGCATGAGCTCCTGAAGGGTGTGAGGGCATTCAGTGCTCGCCAACTCATCCAGGAGCTCCGATGACAAACCCTCCTGGAACTGGTCTAATAGTGCTGCCACATCCTGAGCAACCACCCGAAAACTAGCAATATAATCCATGAGTGAGCCGCGCCCCTGCTTCAACTCTCTCAAACGTCTGTTTGCTGTTTGGCTTCGAACAGGGTCCTCAAACATAGCCTGAAACTGACAGCAAAGCTTGGCGTAATTGTCCAACACCTGGTCGTGCTGGGTCAGCAGAGGCCTCGCCTAATGTGCTGCATGGCCTGACAACAAACTAATCAAAAACCCCACCTTATACCGGTCAGTGGGAAAGTCCTCAGACCGAAGGCTCATGTAAAGCTGGCACTGCCCAAAAAACGCTGGAAACTGGGCCAGTGAACCATCAAATTTATCTGGCACTGCTACTGGGCATTTTCGGCGTGGCCGGGCAGCTTGCATTTATGCCACCTGTGCAGTCAAAAGAGCCACTTGCTGGGTTAACTGGGCATCTCTGCTCTGAGCTGATCCATGGTCACCCCACAAAAAGCAAAAATAAGTTGAAGGGGTGGCTGAATTCAAAATGTGATGACCCGTAGTCTCTCAAAATAACTCAAAACCCAAAACATACATTAAAGTCCAGTAAAGCCTTCAACTTAACTTCACTGTTTTATTAGGCACAGTTTAAAGTCACAAAAGTAAATAGGGAGGCAAACAGAAAACCAAAACAAACCTCATTGATGAGAGTTCTGAAGCAAGCCGAGATAACTAATTATAAACTCCAGGAAAATAACTGAGAAAAGTCCATGGGAAGAACACCAGCAAAGATAAACCTCTTTCAAGGTGAACACTAAATTGACTCCTGCAAATTCTAACTGCGCAGTTGCAAACTTATATACATAGCTCCCAGCTGCAAGGTAATGCAGTGGTAATCTCCTATTGAGTAGACTTCGCTTTTCCCTGATCCTCTCTTCCCTGCGTGACCTAGGATGGATAGGGGATGGGCCTGGATCCTCCTCTGACTGCTCAGCTGGCCTCTGCCCTTCCCCAGCCTCCTCCACCACCTCTGGAGCCACACTCCCACTCCCTGTTGGCTGTTCCTCCTCTCCCACAGAGTCAGACTCCACCAGGGGCATGACAATGATTGTTGCAGTATCCCCATGGCCACATGATCAAAATTCAGATGCTTGGCAGTTGACTCATATTTATGATGCTTGCAGTGTCCTGGGGTCATGTTTTTTTGCAACCTTCTAACAAACCTTTTGCAACCTTCTAACAAACAGTGGGAAAACCAGATTCCCTTAATAACTCTCTTATTAACTTAACAACTGCAATGATTCACTTAACTCTTGCAAGAAAGGTGGTAAAATTGGTCAAGATTCACTTAACATCTGTCTCACTTAAAATAAATTTTGGAGGAGAAGGGTAAACCCTTCTAATTATGGTATGTTCATAGAGTATGATAAAAATATAGGTTGCAGCAATGTATGAACTCAGCTTACCCTTGAAATCATAAACGTTCTTACTACAGAGTTAAGCCCTATTGAACAAAGCTGAATCCATTTGAATATAAAATCTTGAATTCATGTTGCACAGAACGAAACATGAACTTCTTCTGTGATTGTTGGTATAATGAGATTCAGAGGTTTTTCACTCCTTATTCTTCACTTTGGGAGCAAGATAACTTTTTAGCCGTTGATGACATATTTTAGGTTCTCCTGAATTTGGCAAAATCCTGCCAAAGGGCAACTCTGTTTTCCAGTCACTATGAATATTGTTCAATCTGTTGTAAGTATTTTGCTTGGTAAATGTAGGCACTCATTAAAATGCATTTCTCTCCATTCAGCTGTTTTGATGATGGATGATGATACCCTAGTTAGCGCCTATGACCTAGTTTTCGCTTTCTCCATTTGGCAGGTAATGTTAGCATTATGCTTTGCATGTTTATTTAGTACAAAAAGTGTTTTGAGTTATGTTACTGTACCGGTCTCCAAAGATCCTCTATGTACACCTACTTAGAAATTACACTTGCTTCAAGTCACATTTAGAAATTAGTCTCAAAGAAATACAGCATATGTAGAGGAGTTATTTTTCTTAAAATTGACAATTTTCAAAAATGCCAAGATCTTCTAAGAAGACTGCGATAAGACACAAAAGGAATTCAGCTGTGTTTTGAAATTCAGATTTATGTCATATTTAACCAGCATACCAAAAGCCAAACTACACATGCGAAAATTTAACAGAGGGGCCAATTCTATATGTTTATTATGAGGTGCAAGAGACACAGTTCCACTGTATCAGTGGAACAACCATCATGTCTTTTAATTGCCGAGTCTGGAAAAGGATCATTTCTCTCTCTTTTTTCCCCCTTTTTCTTTCTTTTTACATTTCTCTCTTTCTTCCTTTTCTTGGCCTTGTCAAGGCCTTGTTTTTTGTGTATGTATTGTAGATCTGTTTTTAATTGTAAAATTAATAAAATTTATTTTTTTAAAAAAAGAAAATACAGAAACAGTATGTACACTAACAATCCCCAAAAACACTGTTAGTGACCAGTAGTTGTTGACCATGTAGGCAAAAACATCCATCCCTATAAAGAAAGAGTTAACGAGCTCCTGATGAAAGATTATCATAGAGGCCATAATCTACTAATCTTAAAAAGTGACTTTGCAACAATTCCACTTTTGCCAGTTGCCAAACTCTACATATATATCTGATGTTGTGTTCTGTCACATATCTATGAAGCATTGTGATGAACAAAAAATGTGCAATGGCAGGATGACCCTTTGGATTCTAAGGGAGCGGGAGAGTGCAGCTCCCTGATAACAGCTACATCTTTTCCAAGGATTGCAAAGCTGCTTTTTGATCCCAGAAAAGAAGGATTTGGCTTGAGGAATTGCAAACAGCTGCAATGCACACATGCCACATTTCAATCTGAATCTCCCGGCACAGAAGCCATACCAGATAGCTCGCCATCAGCCCTACTATGTAGAGTAAACTGAGAAATCAGCTTCACAGAAAGGCTAAAACTGTTTTTATTGAGATTGGCTATGTCAGTAAAAGAGCCTGACTGTGCTTTATTCCCCACTCCCCTGCTTTTATACTCATGAGAATTAAAGAGGTATCTGCCTGAGCCATTTCTGCATTTCATCTGCCATTTTTTTCTACTTGTCTATTACTGGTAAAGGATGTGACCTGTTGAGAGAGAGAGGGAGGGAGAGGGGGATGGAGGGAAAGAGAGAGAGAGAGATAATATTATCCTATTGAAGTCAATGTACAGAATATAAAAATAAAGTGTCAGAATTTTTTCAAACTGCTTATCCATCAATCCCCCCCCTCCCAATCTCTTTCAAATGTATATACCAGTGGTTGCCAACCGGTGGCCTGAAACCCACTGGTGGGCCGTGAGAAAATTTTGGTGGGCCACAGAGAAATCTCACCCCCAGCACACCCCCACAAAGCAATTAATCCAGGCTGCGCAGAAACATAAGGCTGCGCCACCCACAAGGCCCGCGGGAACCCTCCCCGCCCGCTCACTCCTTACCCGGTAAACTTGCCTGCTAAATTGGTATTTTTCCTTTTTCCGTCCATCATCTGTTCTGCTGTGCCGGGAGATTTAGATTAGCTAGGAAGCAGAAAATGGTTGGATTTCTTGCTTTCTAGCTAGTCTTTAGATCTTCGGCTCAGCACAGCCGAACCTCCCTTAGGATTGAAGGTTTGCTTGCAAGCAAATTCAGTGCAGACTCATGGCAAGCAACTTTGAGAGACTGAGCTAGCCGATAGCAGATAGATAGATCACTGAATGATTCTGTGAGCAACTCAATCTGCCTGCTTTTCCCGATTTTGGGTAAAAGTTGCTCTTTTTTAATAAAAAAAATCAATAATTATATAAATATTTATAATATTTACATACAAGCCATGTCCAGCCAGTCACATGACCACCAAGCCACACCCACAAATTTGGCCACACTCGGAGAACCAGTTAGTGGTCCCTGGGATCTAAAATTATGAGTTTGGTGATCCCTGAGGTCCAAAAGGTTGGCGACCCCTCGTATATACTGTATGTCTTTAAAATCTTCAGTATTATATGTAACTGAGTCCAAAATTGTTTGGCCTTTTTTATACCAAGCATGATAAAATGTCCCTTCATCTTTGTTACACTTCCAGCATATGTTTGAAGAACCTTTCTAGTCAATTTTTCCAGTCAATGTACCAACAATACAGCATTTTATAAAAATTCTCCTTAAGACTATAATATTACTGTAAATTTCAGTTCTTTCAACTACAAATTCTCCCACTGATCCATGTGTATATTATAATGTTCTTCACAATAGCACTTAGACTTATATACTGCCCCATAATGCTTTACAGCACTCTCTGGGTAGTTTTACAAAGTCAGCATATTGCCCCCAACTGTATGGGTCCTCATTTTACCAACCTCGGAAGGATGGAATAATGAGTCAACCTTGAGCCCATCAGGATCGAACTCCAGACAGTAGGCAGAATTAGCCTGCAACACTGCATTCAAATCACTGCACCACCATTTTAATCCATTATATCATGCAGTTAATCTTTTATTCACATTCTACATTCTCCTTGACAAAGTTCTAATATATCACTCAATCATTTGTGTTTAATAATCATTTCTTTTATATAAAATGCTTCTGTGCTGAGACCAGGATGGTATTTTCGGGCAAAGCCTACATTTATATCTGTTCCATATTCTCAGTACATTTGACGCAATTCATTACAGTTCTGCATGTATCTCGAGAGTTAGTATAGCATACAGATAGTCCTTGACTTACAACAGTTTGTCTAGTGACCGTTCAAAGTTACAACTGCATTGAAAAAAAGGGACACGATCATTTTTTTCACAATTACGTCTTTGCAGCATCCCCACAATCATGTGATCAAAATTCAGATGCTTGGCAACTGGCTCATATTTATGACCGTCGCTGTGTCCCAAGGACATATGATCGATCTCCTTTTGTGACTTTCTGACAAGCAAAGTTTGTGGGGGAAGCCAGATTAATTTCACAACTGGGTTACTAACTTATCAACTGCAGTGATTCACTTAACAACAGTGGCAAGAAAGGTAAAAAGGGGCAAAACTCACTTAACAAATGTCTCCTTCAACAACAGAAATTTTCGGCTCAGTTGTGGTCGTAAGTCAAGGACTACCTGTAGTAACACCAATTCTAAAAGTCAAGCAGACTTTAATTTAAATCTTACCTGTGCTATGATCTCCCTATGTCCTTTAGGCAAGTATTTCACTTGCAGCCTTTGGAAATTAATCATATTGGTTCTTATAAGATAGTTGTTAGGATTACAGTAGATCATGAATTTGGGGCATTTTTTAATATGTGAATTATTATTTAAATTTGGGGTATTGATTGGAGTTCCCCCAAAGACCAAATCTCTTCTGGATTTCTAGAAGGAATCTCGGTGCTCGGCCCGGGAACGAGATGCAGGAGGAAAAAAAAACCTAATCCTGTTCTTTTGTAATATAACACAGAAGACACACAAATGGCTGTAGAATACATAGGCAAACTGGGGCCTATTGAGTCCATCAAGTATGCCAAAATAAAATCAGGGCTTTTTCTGAACTCTACTCTTCACCTTTTTAACTGTATGGCAGTTCTCCACGCAAACTGTGTTTAAATTTGCAGTGATAATAAATCTGATTGTGGGGAACATCTTATAAGCAATTCTTTTTTATGTATATTTTTGTTGTTGGGTCATAAATCTTTTTTATTTGCAACAGGTGCCCCAGAGCAATATCATGACGTTTTTCTTTTCCTACAGCAATTTCCAGATCAGATTGTTGGATTTGTTCCCAGAAAGCACATCCCCAGCCCTGCGGGGATTTTCAGCTATGGGAGCTTTGAACTACAGGGTCCTGTCATCGGCAATGGAGACCAGTATTCAATGATCCTAATAGGAGCTGCCTTCTTCAGCAGCACATATCTAGAACTTTTTCAAAAGCAGCCTGAAGCTGTGCACGCCATGATCGATGAAACTCAAAATTGTGACGATATCGCCATGAATTTCTTGGTAGCCAAGCACACTGGAAAGCCATCGGGTATGTTTGTGAAGCCAGTGGACATCAGGAATTTAGAAAAAGAAAGCAACAGTGGTTATTCTGGAATGTGGCACCGGGCAGAACACTTGCTACAAAGGTCCTACTGCCTTAATAAATTGGCTAGCATCTATGGCAACATGCCTTTAAAATATTCTAATATTATGATTTCCCAGTTTGGTTTTCCAAACTATGCTAATCACAAGAATAAAGTATAAGAATGTGCTCCAGTAAATGCTTCAATGTGCTTCCCGGCAATTCAAATAATATATCAAGTAGGGAATTCTGTAAAATCTGTAGGGTTAAACATTATTTGGAACTAATTTCTGCGAGAGCTCTTTGGGGGTGTAAAGTCTGGGTGAAACATTCCATCTCTTGTACTCAGCATGTGAAAGCTTTTTTCGTTTGCTATTTATCCCCATTTCAGGTAACCTCCTCCCACCCCAAACACTTGAATGCAGATTGTCCCAGAAAGCTATGTGCATTCACATCATCGAAGTTGCAAATATACAGTTATCTCCAGCCACAATGTGTAAGCCAACAACCATTTTTCATTTTCAGCCTGCCCGTTCAAATATGCCAGTAAAAGGAAGCAAAGAATAAATTCTCCATAAAATTGTAGCATTTTTTTCTTCTTCTGTACAATGAGGCTATACTTGATTTATATAGCAGATATTACTCCAGTGATACTCAATAGTTCCACCTTCAGAAATAATGAAATATTTTCTGTGGAATAACTTGCAATAACATTTTCTTCCCCTATCCACAGCAAAATAATATTTTAAAAAAGCACATTGTGAAATATTTGACACAAATACATTATCTTGATCTTGAGACATAGGAAGATTGCCCTCATCTTCCTCTATAATCTTTAATAAAAATTGTGTTAATTTTGAAAGCAGTGCTATTTTATGTCTTAAGCCAAGAGCTAAATAATTTGCAGTGGTTTTTTTTAATATAATGATAAAATGTTTCTGAACTGATACAACTTACAATATCTACAGTATGTGAATATTCAATCTGAATTTTTTCTATATCTTTAAAATAATATAACAGTTTAATTCCTTGCCTATCGGTAAAAGCTAATAAAGGATAGTTACAAGATTGGGAAACTTTTCCATGCAAATCTTAATTCAAGACACAGAGAATACAGCACTTTTGACAGATATAGTAAAATTTGGAAAGGTCCTAGTATTTCAAGTAGCTGCCTTCTCTGTGAACTACATATTTGTATGTTCAAGAACAGCAATTGTGTTTTCAACTGTACATGTTCCATAGAGACAAAGTCTGAGATCCAGATATCCTATATAATTCATTTTTTTTTTTTTTTTGCTTTTCAAAGAATCAACCCTCCTGCATCCAAAGCTGTTAAATCCATATTTTAACATCCAACTTGTATATACTGAATATTTGCCACTACCAAAAGAATCCCCTATTTTATCTGTGCAATATTTTGATCAGATTAAAAAGATTAAGCGTAGATTACTATACAAAAGCTGCAGCCAACATCTGCAACAGAGATCTGGGGCAGCTCACAGTATGTTGGCAGAACATAGAGGCGAAAGTAAGAAATTGTATCTAAGATTACTCACCCTACAATCAATCTGAGTTCAATTGCATTGTTTTTATTTGAATGCACATTTTTTTCAGGCTCATGTATCTGAAACTGGTGGCTTATTGCTGCTTTCAAAAAAAATTAATATTAGTATTTAGTTTGGGATTTGTGTTCATTCAGTTAGGCTTATTCTGTATCTGAGATTGTATATTTCTTTTCCTTCTGCTCAGTAATTTTCAATCTGTTGAAAATATGTATGATTTAGAATTCAGTGATTCCTGGAGATGTAACTGCTTAGTTCAGTTGTACTTTGATGTATTTTGTAAATGCAAAAGTTGTGCATTTTTTCTCTTTTATTGGGATTAGTTCTTTCATCTTTATTTTTTAAAAGAACTGCTAATAAAAATGTGTAATAATGAGAAATGTCTCATGGTTATTTATTGGCTGAAGTGAGCTGTATTATACAGAAAGTAGACTAATTCCTTCTTTTATGCTCATGTGTCAATGAATTCCAACTACTGGAATTAAATGTACATAAGATTACAGCTCTGAAGGTTGATTAGAAATGACTGAGTTGTAATCTTTATCTAGGATTGAGCTATGTTGTTTTAAATACAATACCATAATGTCTTGGAAGTAAAATCCTACATCAGATTTATTTCCAAAGAAACATTATATGTCCACTGCATATTCCCTTATTCCCAGTGTTAAAATGAATATTCCCTAAGTATCTGAAACACATTGTTCAAGGCCCTGTCTTAATGAAATGTCATTCCAACTAGAGGAGACATTAAGAGTCTTGGATTACCATTTAGCTACAGATCTATAATTTAGATTTCAGTAAAGCAAGCTTGCCTTTCTGGTCCAAAATTCTCCAAAAGTTAAAAGTCTCTTTCAAGTTAAACTTTATTCTTGAAATTAGTGGAACAGATTTACATGTACATCTGTATGTGTTAAAATTAAAGATTCCCTCAAGTTTAGTTATTATTTACTTGTTGGATTTTATATCCTGCCTTTTGTCGCACAGTTCAATGCAGCATTTTCTCCATTTTTTTTCAATACAGCCTCAATAGGCCTAAGGTACTACTGAGTTTCCCATGGCTGTGGGTAAAGCTGAAACAAATTTTCCTGGTTCTACTCTGTTACTTTAACCCCTGTGCTACTACACTGGTTCTTCAGTTCACCTTCTAATGACTATGTACGGTTTGCCTCGCAGTGTTACAAAAGTAGCTTCCCATTGCATTCTTCCAAGATGTTTTAATTTCCTAGGCTAGCCAACAGCCCTTTAATTATACGTAGACAGAAAGAGTGAGTTCTGTAAATCTCTGCTATAGACCCTGCAGAAGATCCAGAAATACATCCATGCAATAAACATCAACTATAGCTAATGCTTTTTACTGGAGTTAAAAACCAGAGTTTGTTTGGCTTATAAGGATGAGGCTTACTCAGATGCTGGAGACTCTGAACCACATTTATACAAATTAAATGATACTGCAATAGAGTGGATTACTTTAGTGAAGCTCGGCATGTCTTAAAGTCATTATATTTATTGTGCATAATCCTAAAATGGGAGGAAAAGAATCTTAGCCTGCTCACTAAATCCATGGAAGTGTTTTTCTGCATAGTGCTGTTGACCCAATTTTAGATGAGAAAATAATGAATGGAAGTAAAGTACATCACGAGCCTCATTACGGTATTTAAATAATTTGCCCAATTTTCAATGCACCAACAGATGGCACTCTTGAGATTTTGCCAAGAGGTATTAAAAAAGAACTTTGAACAGGCATATATGGAACAGCATAGCACTGCAAACATTGTTTTATAAATATAGTGTTATTTATATAAACATGATTTTGGTTATTAATGCAATATTTGTGCCAATTCAAGGAATTGTACAATAATCACAAGTAGAATGTTAAATGCTATCCTATACAAATATGAAACAAATAATGTAATTAATGGCTGCAATAGAATAACTGAACAAAAAAATAATAAAAGAAAGATATTTTTGAAAATAATATTTAATAGTTGAATCCAAAAATGGTTGTAATTATTAATTAGGTTATAATGTTAAAGAAAATAGCACAAAAATCGAGTTTTGGGGGGGAAATGTCCTTGTAACCATCCATTTCTACTGTCTTCTCCATACTGTGGACTCATTGATACATTCAGATTAAGAATATTACTGACAGTTTTAGTCATCTAAATTATTACTCTAAGATAGAATGATGTTTGACCAGAACCAGAGTAACAACAGACCAATCAGATGCCACAGAATCTAGATTCTTATGCCTGTTCAGTATTCTTAGTGCTTATGCTGGTCAGTTTGCAACTGACATTGTGAAGACAAGTATCTGAGAGGCCTAAGGGAAAAATAAGTAAGTTCTTGAAAACTTCTAATAATTTTAACGTTTGCTAGTTCCTCTGGGGTTTCAAATTAAGGTTTCAAATCTGGGGAAATTGTTAAAATTTACAGCCCATGGGCCAGATGTGTCATCTGTTGGCCACCCCCACGACCGGTTTAGTGAAGGGGAAAAAGTCCCGATACATCATGTGATGTCACCATGATGATGAGAGTTTGACACCCCTGATTTAGGCCTTCATAAAAAGTTTGGAAAAGTAACTTCTGAGAAGTTAGTAATAATCATAAAATCATAGTACTTCTAACTTCAAAAGAGTGTATTTCTTCTCTACTCCTCAAGGTCGAACACAAAAGCCAGACTGATGTTTGGTCAATTGATAGAATATGTTTTATCACATGTAACTACCATAACAGTGGTTACATCCTTGCTACCATTCATGCATGAACTTATGTGCAAAATGTTAATTTGAAATAGTCAAAAGGCATCCTATGCAATTTTACATGAAATTCAATTTCACTCAGTTCATAAGAGTTTATTTTTAAATCATCCTGCACATGATCAGTTTGAAAGTTTGGAATCCAAAAATATAGATTGCCTATTTATGCCTTTATTTAAAAGTATGGAACACAAAAAGCTAGAGTTTTCCATATTTATGAATGGAGTGATAATGCTTATTTATTAATTAAATTTTTATGATGTCCATCTCACTGATATAGTGATTCTAGGTATCTTTAGTAATGTTCTAACATTTTGAAGTGTATAGAGGTGTAAGCATGGCATCTATCAGCAACACACATAATTCTTACAATAAAATATGCAATTGTTTTAAAGAGTGCAGACAAGTGCTCTTTGTGCACTTAAAAGCACTCTTTTGAAAATCGTCCTACCCAGCCTTACTGCCACATAAAATAATTGTAAGTCATGGAATAGATATTGTTCAGTTCTAATTAAAGAAAACATACTCCACATGCAGCACAGTTCATGGAATGGGATAGAAAAGTAGCATCAAGCTATATAAAAATAGGGCTCTGCTACTCGGGCTTCGCAAAATATTTAGAAGAAGTGCTTTAGTTTTGTGTGAGAGCAGCATCAGTAGTGGGATTCAAAAAAAATTTATACTGGTTCTGTGGGTGTGGCTTGGTGGGCATGGCAGGGGAAGGATACTGTAAAATCTCCATTCCCTCCCCACTCCACTAACCTGCTTTCCAGCTCCATTCTCCTGTGCAGGGCAACAAAAGATGACTCAGCTGATCATCTGGGACTCAGGAGCAGAGAATAGATGGGGGAGGGGCCAGTCAGAGGTGGTATTTGCCGGTTCTCCAAACTACTCAAAATTTCCTCTACTGGTTCTCCAGAACTGGTCAGAACCTGCTGAATACCACCTCTGGGCAGCACCTCTTCAGTTCATGAAAGAAGACTCTTTCTGATCAAGCTCAAGAAAAGAAGATGCCATAGAACTTCAAAGACCTTTCAGAAGTGTCACCAGATGTGGTGGATTTACATAAGCTAATTTTAGTAATTATGGTCTTTTCTATGCGCATTTCTGAAAGAACTCGTCATATGTAATGAATGAGAACTAATAATCTATACTAATAATCTATATGGTATAGATCGGGGTGTCAAACTCATGGTGTCACGTTGCCATCACATGACGTATTGTGATGTTTTTCCCATTTGCGGAGCTGGGTGGGTGTGGCCTATGCATGACCCATCCAGCCTGCGGGCTGCTAGTTTGACACCGCTGATCTATACCAACCACGTCTTAATGGATTTAACACCAGAAAACACCCCAATGCTGGGGTGTGTTGCCATCTCTGTTAGTTGTTACTCTATTAATAGTGGCTAGTAATTTAAAAGGGTAAAAATTTCTAGCCCACTGACATAGCCTGTGTAGCCACTGTAGCCCCCCTCATCCCCCAATTTTATCTCCTCTCACATGTGCAAGTAGCATCATGAAATTGTAATCTTTTGTTGTTGTTAGTTATGAAGTCGTGTCCAACTCATTGCGATCCCATGGATGTTCCTCCAGGCCTTCTTGTTCTCTACCATCTTCTGGAATCCATTTAAGCTCACACTTACTGCTTCAGTGACTCCATCCAGCCACCTTATTCTCTGTCATCTTTTTCTTCTATTGCCCTCAATCTTTCCTAGCATTAGGCTCTTCTCCAGTGAGTCTTTCCTTCTCATTAGGTATTTGAGTTTCAATTTCAGGATCTGGCCTTCTAAAGAGCAGTCAGGGTTGATCTCCTCTAGGGCTGACCAGTTTGATCGCTTTGCAGTCCAAGGGACTTGCAGGAGTCTTCTCCAGCACCATACTTCAGAGGCCTCAATTCTTTGGCGCTCAACCTTTCTTATGGTCACAGCCATACATCGCAACTGGGAAAACCATAGTCTTGACTATACGCACTTTTATTGGCAGGGTAATGTCTCTGCTTTTTAGTATGCTGTCTAGATTTGCCATAGCTTTTCTCCCCGGGAGCAAGCATCTTTTAATTTCTTGGCTGCAGTCCCCATTTGTGGTGATTTTGGAGCCCAGGAAAATAAAATCTGTCACTATCTCCATTTCTTTCCATTCTATTTGCCAGGAATTGAGAGGGCCGGATGCCATGATCTTAGATTTCTTAATGTTCAGTTTCAAGCCAACTTTTGCACTCTCCTTCTTCACCCATATCAAAAGGCTGTTTAGTTCCTCTTCACTTTCTGCCATTAGAATGGTATCATCTGCATATCTGAGGTTGTTGATATTTCTCCCGGCAATCTTAATTCCAATTTTTGATTCATCTAACCCTACCTTTCTCATGATGTGCTCTGCATATAAGTTAAATAGGCAGGGCGATAGTATACAGCCTTACCAGACTCCTTTCCCAATTTTGAACCAATCAGTGGTTCCTTGTCCAGTTCTCATTGTTGCTTCTTGACCTGCATATAGGTTTCTCAAGGGACAAATAAGATGGCTTGGTACTCCCATCTCTTGTAATGTTTTAGGCTTCCATAAAATAAAAAACAAAGCTCTTTTTTCACCTTTCATTTTTTAAAATGTTCTTAGTCAGCTATGGCTTTGAATTGTTGTTTTAAACACCATTGTAGCCCTTGCACCAGAGGTGGTATTCAGCAGGTTCTGACCAGTTCTGGAGAACCGGTAGTGGAAATTTTGAGTAGTCTGGAGAACCAGCAAATAGCACCTTTGACTGAAGATTTTACAGTATCCTTCCCCTGCCACGCCCACCAAGCCACGCCCACAGAACCGGTAGTAAAAATGTTTGAATCCCACCACTGCCTTGCACTATTAAGTACAACCAATAAATTACAATAGTTCATGTACTACATCTAAAGAAACCACATAATGTAACGTAATGGTTGGCTCACACAACATGCTAAGATATAGAATAGAATAACAGAGTTGGAATGGACCTTGAAGGTCTTCTAGTCCAACTCTCTGTTGAAGCAGGACCTATACTATTTCAGACAAATGGTTATCCAACCTCTTCTTAAAAACTTCTGTCAGGGAATATCTCCTTAGTTCTAGGTTGCTTCTCTCCTTGATTAGTTTCCACCCATTGCTTCTTGTAGCCTGTTTGGTTTTTATTTAAACAATGGTATATTGTGCAATGTATATTGTGCAACTACATTACTGCATGTATATAGATTGCAATGCTACAATATATGTATAGGATTGGGTGTGTATGTTTATCCATTTTTTTAATTTAGCAGCAATAGCAGCCTTTTAAATTTCTCTATCAGTCCAGTACTGACTCACTGAAAAAAGCAACTTTTAAAATCAGGAAAGAGGGCATTTTTTTAAAGGTTTTTACATTAGCTTGAAAAAAAATAAGGCTTTTAAAAAGACTAATTCAGAAATCTAAAAAACAGCCAGCCTTCCTTAATGAATGGGAGAGAAGTGTAGTGCTTGTAAGAAGTCAACATTCCTTTTTTCCAAATCATTTTTGAAGTGTCCACTGGCCAAGTAAATCCAAGAGTCATTCTACCTCAAGAGTTCTAAAATTGAAGTTTATCCTGTTTGTCTGTTTTCATACAATAATTCTAGAGGTGCGAGGCATGGGACCTAACTTTACTCCAGGAGTGTAATGTGTTGATTGTGATAACACAATCTGTTGCTATTATTTTCAACATGGGTTAATGTTAATAGAAGTATCATCAGCTAAATAAGAAATGTGAGCTATGTGCAGAAGAATCCATTCCAACTATAACTATAACTTCAACTATTGGCTTAAACAAATTTTCAAGAATTCATGTCTTCTTTGCAGGGTATTGGAAATATTCCTGACAGCAAGTTAATGTGTCTTAAAACTTCATGGTGACTTCCTCTTTTCCATGTATCAAGCAGGGAAATATTTCATTTGCCTAGGGATGAATAAGACTTAGGTATAAACATATATTAAGGCAAAAAAAGCATCATTTTGCTAGTATAAATCAAGGGACATAATGGTTTGGCCCACACAATTAACTAATCTAGGATTTATTTTTGGTTTAGCCTACTGTATGAACATAGCAATTGTGATCTGTAAACCATAGTTTAGAGCTGATCATGATATTAGTATACTAGGCTAAGTAACTTGACATATTCCCCCCCACACCTTTTTTAATTTAAGGGATAAAATACAAACTCACAAAAAATAACCAAAAACAGAACAAAACTAAACATGACAAAATTGTTTTGGGAGCATGATTTTGTTCCTTGATTTGGCAAGTATGCCACCTTCGCAAAATGTTTCAGAATCCAATTCTTAAACCTAAACCAGTTTGCTGACTGCGTGAAGAAATTTCATCTATTACAGTATTGAGACGGAGTAAATAAATGCCAAGCCTGCTTTTGAAAGACAGGGAAATCGAACTGCTAAGTTTCTTCAGCATTTTGAAGCAAATATCATTAAAGATCTTACTTACTCCAAGTGATCTTCTGTACATGGGGGGGGGGGGGAAGGGCGGGAGAAGGTAAATAGGTAAAAAAAAATTCAACCCTTTATTTGCTATTAATTCTGGCACGAAGCGATGGTTTAACACTCCCCCATACCCCCCCCCGCCCCAAGAATAGCGCGGAGGCTGAGGAAAGTGAGAGGAGGGGAGCTGCTCTTCTTTCGCAACCTGGCGGGGCAGAAGAGGTGAGGCCAAGCGGCCTCAGGTGCCATCCGGCGTCGCTTCTCGGCCCGAGCCCAGGTGCGTATGTAACAAAGCCTGTGGTGACGTGGTTGCCACCGCAGCGCCGGCTGCCTGGTAACCGGGTCCTGCCCCTTTAAGCCGCCGGAGGGCGGGACGGAGGCGAAGAAATCCTTTCCACCCCACCCTCCGGCCGGTTCCTCCGCCACTCCCGCGGGTCGCTGGGTCTCGGAGCCGTCGCCCTTTCCTTTTCCTCCTTTCGCGTGCTCACTCCCCATCCCATGCGGGCGGCGGCGGGGAAGGAGTCTCTGGTGGCTGCAGCAGCAGCAGCAGCAGCAGAAGCGGCACCCGCTGGAGCGCAACCTCGAGCAGCCGGCTCCGGCTCTCCCTTCCCCGAACATGTCCCGTTGCTGCTGGCGCCGCTTCTGGTGAACCCGGCTGGGCGGCGGAGCTCTTGCCATCGCTGCTGCTCCTGCCGCCGCCGCCGCCACCTCCACCGCCACCGGAGAGCTCGCCGTTCCGAGAGGCGCTCATGAGTACCGAGACGTCGTCCCGCGCGTCTGCGCACCTCCGCGCCCTTTTTAGGATGGAACCCAGCCCGCCTTTGGGCTCGGAGCAGCTGCTGGGCGCCTCCGAGTTCCTCAAAGGTGAGCGCGGGAGAGAGGCTGGGGTGGCGGCGGGGGTAGCGGCGCGGCTCGTAATTTCCACTCTCCCGCCCCAGTTGTTGACTTCCGTGGTTTGCAAAGCACCTGCCCGCCCGGGGATGGGCGCCGCAAGAAAGCTGTCCCGAAGGGATCACTTGGGCTCGATCCCTGGAATCGCGTAAACTTTGGGGTGTGTGGGGGGGGAAGAGTATTAGGCGCGGCGGCCGGGCTAGGTAAGCACGAAGCCTCCCCCCCCACATCTCGGATGAGGGGAGAGAGGTGACGATCGCCTCGGATAGCCTGACCCGAGCGCTTTTCCTCGAGGACGATCCCTGAAGTGTTTTGATGCCTGCGATGAAATGGATCCCCAAGGCTTCCCGTTGAAGTTATAGTGGCCGGTTGGTGGCTTTTATAAGGACGCTGTGAGCCGAGAAGTGAAGACCGGATCCTTCAGCAGCTCATCGCCTCTGATTATTATTATTTTTGTGTCTCCTTCCCCCACCCCTCCTGTATTTCAGACCGACTTTATTTTGCTACTTTGCGGAACAGACCCAAAAGCACAGTCAACACGCACTATTTCTGTACGGATGAGGAGTTTGTTTATGAAAAGTAAGTTTGTTCTTCCTTTTTGCCCTCCCCACCCCATGCTTCTTCCGATAGCCCTGCTTTACTTTCGTTTTCTCATTAGAAACGTTTGTTTTAGTTCCTGTCGTCTCCAAGTGATTAGAAGAAGTAGGTCATGGGGGGCTTTTCTGTCTGTCTGTCTCTCTCTCTTTTTTGCAGAGAGAGATCCTTTCAAATCATCCTAAATCACATATAAGACTGCATTGCCATTGTGTTTATAAAGTCCTAGAGCTATTTTTAAGACTAATTGCATTGCTCTGTAAACTCTTAATTAGAAAGTGGATGTTTCTCTTTTCTTTGCCCCAGGTTTATTTTTATTTTTGTTTTGCAAAAGGGACACTACTTTTCAGGGATGTTATGTTTGAACGGTTGGTCTGTGATTTAAAATACAGTACTTTTCAGACATTTATCTGCTCATCTTCTTAACTTCATCTACCCTGAGGTTTAGGAAAAAGAAAATGTTACAGTTGCACAGTATTATGCAGTTATTCTTAATGTCTTGACAGTTTGCATTAGGCGCACTTTAGATTAAAAAAATACTGTATGTGAAACTCAAATTAGTAAAAGCAAAGTATGTTTGCATTCGATTTTATAGCATTATGACATTTACATTTGAATTTATGGCAACAAAACCTCTGCTGAATGAATGTTTATAACATCCTTGGTAATATGATTATTTGACAGAGACAGGAATGTGGTGTTTTTTTTTCCTTAACTTGTGAATTGTGATAGTCCTTTCTGGAACAAAAGCCAGTATCTTTTGAGATTATTTATGAAGGGGTTTAACAAAATTAGCTTTCTTTTTACAAGACTATTTAGATTGCCATGCTCCAAGGCCATTTTTCCAACTGGAAGCTCTCTTAAAATGCAAAATATAGAGCAGGTGGAATGAGGGAAAGGATTTGAGGTAATGTTATTACTAATATAATAATAGTTTAAAACTGGTCACCAGCACTATATTAAATCTTACGGGATGGAAAAGAATTTAATGATCAGAGGCTCATAGTCTTTCAACCATCTGAAATGTTTAACATTCATCTTCAGTACAGTTTAAAATCCATTTGTTTACATGAAATTAAGTTGCATTGACTTAAATGAGCTTCTAGATTGATAGGTTTATTCATATAAAATAATACAACCTAACTAGAAACAAACATGATTGTACTCTTGGGTTACTCCCATGAATTAATGAAGTATTATAGAAAGATTTATCCTTAAGTTATTTAGTGTTTTATATGTACCGGAGACTTTGGCTTGTATTTCTCAGAATTGGCCAGAGCTCAAAGATTGCACAACAGACTAGTTTGTTAAATATCCTTGCTTGTGAAAGATACAGTGCATGCTTTTGCCTAATCCATATTATGATTTAGCCGAGAGGTAAACAAGGTCAGGTAAAATTCCTTGGGACTTCCTGTGCAGTTCTAAAAAGTGAACACTTGGATGTTTGTTCATTGGAGTTTAAAAGTAAATGTATGATTTACTTGTATGTAAATTAAATGTAAATTTAATTATTTAATTTTACACATTTCTGTTTAGATGTTAATTCAGATAAAAAATGGAATCTTTTTTAAATATACTCCTAAGCTAGCTATATGATTTTTAAAAATTGTTGTGCAATAGCTAGCATAATATCAAGCAAGTTCTTTGTTCAAAAATTTATTTAAGTCTGATATAATTTCCCTTGACAAGAATTTTTAGTCTATTTTAATCTAAATATGGTTGGATGTGCCATCCACACACCTATATATCAAAACTCATTGGCAAACTGGAAAAAAACTAAGCTGTAGCATCAATAAAAGCAAAAACCCCTCAATATATCTGAGAAATAGTACTTGTTGCTAATAGATAGCATGTTTAAAGGTTTGGATGAAAGTTTTACATGCTAATGAAAACTCAGTGCTTTTTTTGTAGATTAAGTACCTGAAGCATGCCTAGCATGTTAATTTTGATTGGTTACTATTTCAGAATGTTTAGGTATGGATGCTACAACTTTCTAAATTCAATATTTTTTTGTCTACATTAAATCTGAGTTCCATTGCTTTGTTATATTTGAGGGTGTTGTGAGAAAGCTATCAAAATGATTAACAAGTATGGCAATTAAAACATGGTGATATTAAATATTTATACAAAAGAGAGAATAAAAACATTTACATGTTTTATACTTATTATAATTACTAATTTAAATTAATAAGAGCATTTGAATCTTCTCATTGAACTACACCACTGAACTTTGATTGCAAATTGTTGAACTACAGTGAGATGATTTTCTGTTTTTTTATTGAAGTCAAGCCTAAAACAAGCAAGCTGAGCATTTGCTAAGGTTAATGCACTATTTTAATCCTGAAAAGGTGACATCATTTTATCATTAGTCTGTCCTCCATGCCTCTTGAATTTCATGTAGTCATCACAAAAAAAGTTGTTCCCTGGCCATATTATGAAACAATTAGAGCCTGGTGTATTTTTTGTTAAGAATGTCATTTTTATGGCATATAAATAAAGTGTCCTTTATTCTGATCCTTCAGTGTTTCACACTCTTCCATCTTTTCTTTCTTTCTTTCTTTCTTTCTTTCTTTCTTTCTTTCTTTCTTTTCAGCAACTTCACTTCTTTCTTCACTTCCTATTTCATATGATTGCTTAACACCTTGAAGCTCGAAGTTAATGGGTTATGTTGAAGTCAAGGATTATTTCGGTTCCTCCTTGCTTTTAAATCTCTCACCACCATAATTTCTGTAGTACTCAGTTCTTTCAACAACTGTAGTTAACTGTGCTCTGCTTGGCACTCTACTTTCTAACAGCAGTTACTGATTTTTTTCCTTAGTATAACTGAAGATTTTACTTATGTCTCTACTTTGTAATTGTTCTATCTACATCTTAGCAGCCAGAATAATGTACAGCAAACCTGCTTTTTCTTCTTTTGCTTCTTCTATAGCCAATTGCTCTTTTTCAGTTTTCTCCTCTTCTGCTGTTATTTTATAGGCCCTTTATTTAATTTCATTGACAACAGTAATTTTTTAAAAAAATCTTCAATTAGACAGGCCTTCAGTTTTAATTTTTCATAGTACTTGGTTTTGTGATTTTTATTCTCTAACAAATCTAGTTCTCCTGGATTAATAATTGCTCTTCATCCTTTCTTTGCCATACTTTAACACATTATCACCAAGTTTATTGACTTTTTTCTAAAAAAAGGTATGTACAGCCTTTTTTTAATTATTTGTTTTGAGTCTGCCAAATATAAATGGTGACTATCTACCAATTCACAACTTGCTATTTTTAATAGAGATATGGGTTACAAATACCCAAACAGCCATTAGGCAGCAGTACAGATTTCTGTATCTCTTTGCTACCCCTTCATGGTGTTCTACTCATGTGGATTCTCTATTAATGCTGTTATCAGTGATTGCATGTCCTTAATAATGTCAAAATGACATCAATGGATTTGAGAATAAAATTGCTTCATCAAAACTCTGAATTTAGAATGTATTGGACTCCTTAAGAATGCATTCAAAAGGATAGAAGTTTTTCTTTTGGACATACAAAAAACTTTTCAAGAACATTGATACATATGGTATGGTAATATCTTGTAGTTTTCTGGAATCAGTCTTTTAAAGTGCACAGGTAGATTATATGGGAAAACCTCTCAATATTAAAGATAATGTGATGTTGAATGTACACCCATTTATTTACACCCATTTATTTAGTGACCTTTCAAAGTTACAGTGATTCTGAGAAAAGTGACATAACTGATCCTCATATTTACAACTGTTGCAGCATCCCCATGGTCACATGATCAAAATTTGGGCACTTGTCAATTGGCCTGTATCTACAACAGTTGCAGCATTCCAGGATCATGTGATCACAATTTGTGACCTTCCCACTTGGCTTCCAATCAGCAAAGACAATGTGGAAAGCCGGATTTGTTTAATGACTACATGTTTTACTTAACTGCAATGATTTACTTAACAATCATGGCAAAAAAAGGTTGTAAAATCCAGCATAACTCATTTAACAACCACCTTGCTTAGCAGTGGAAAATCTGGCTCCAGTTATTGTAAGTGGAGGATTACCTTTATATCAAAACTTTGTCATCTGACTGTCTTTGAGGAATTGCAGTTATGCTGGGCATAGCGGGTGTCCAAAAGAATTATATTGAAAAATTAGAAAAGTGATACTACATCATTCCAAATATTAAGTACTGACTTTTGTGAAACTTTTCTCTTCTGGAAAAGACAATATTTTCTACTCGTCAAAGAATGACTATGGAGATTCTCAGTCATGCAGGTCATGTTTGTCCCAAAGGTGCTTTTTCAAAAGGCAATTGGACTTTGTTTTTGCTTGAAGACATTTCGCTTCTCATCCAAGAAGTTTCTTCAGTTCAAAACTGTAGAAGCTTCTTGGATGAGAAACAAAACGTCTTCAAGTAAAAACAAAGTCCAGTTGCCTTTTGAAAAAGCACCTGTGAGATACTCAGGATGAAGCAATATGATCTTTGGCATAGATTTTATGTTATAGTATACAATGATATTGTTAGGTATATTTTTATCCAATTGTAATATAGATATGTTACAGAAAAAATCTAGTGGCAATCTGTATTTTTGCAACTTTGATACAGTAGCTTCTTAATTCTATCATTGTCTTAGAATGCTGTCTTTGGCCTTAGCTAATTATTGAAGTTAATTCCAAAGGACAACCAGATATTGTAAGCCTGTTCTGCTTTTGGTTGCACACATATACAGGTTTTTTTTCCCCTGAAATACATTCAATGTGATTTGAAATATTTCTTTAAGTTTATTTATTGAAATTAACCCGCAAATCCATCGATATTTCTGGATTTTTGTTAAACAGATGTTTATATATTCTGTGATATTTGAAGTTTTCTCAGGCCCTTTTTAACTCTTTCCCATTCTTACCTCACCCCTCCTTTTTTCTTCAGGCTTTTCAGCAAGGTCGGAATTTGGATCTTGTGATCATCCTTGCACACTGTTGTG